TTACAATCACTTATCGATCACTTAATCAATTATTTATTAATCGATCATTTAATCGATCATCAACCTATCTTCATACATAATTATCTAAGTCTTCCTTGAACTACCCTTTCAATCATTTATTCGATTAGACCTTTATCGATCAAATGTTCGATCATCTTGCTTAAGGGTTGTTTTTGCAATAACTTAGTTTTATCGATAAGATGATCAATTAAGTGATTATCAATCACGTATTCAATCAATGCACCAATACATTTCTTCACGATGATCTTTGTTAGAACATATTTTCATTTTATCTTTAAACTTTTCTCAACCTTCTTTAATCATATAATTCTCTATTGAAAAGATACAAAGGCAAACAAAATTTGAAAGAAATAAACCATGCACAGAATTTAAATGTACTTCATCATTTATCAATCATTTGTTCTATCATTGGTTGATCTATAATTTAGTCGATAAATTCATATATCTGTTGAATCTATCTCTTTATTAATTGATCGATAATATGATTGATCAAGGGATTTATCGATAAAGTTATCGACTAACATTGAAAAGATTTCAATTCCACATACATCAAGTTATCAATAACATTATCAAGTAAGCTTGTTCTTTGACATATCTTGTTATATAAAACTCATGATTTGTGATCTTAACTTACACTATCCAACTTATTGTTTCTAAGATTATCATATATTTATCACTTGCTTTAAGGAAGATTATTTCAAGTAAAGAGCTACAATAAATTTATGATGTAAAAATCAACTTTTGTCCTAAGCTTCCAACGACTGATTTCAATGGTCATATTCTTCAAGCCAAACGGGAAGAAGATGCTCAACAGTCAAATCCCCAACATCATCTATAAATAGTAAAGCATTCAAAACGAGAAAAAGAAAGAGAGTCTAAGCTTACAACATCAAATGCTAAAATATCGAATCAACATATTTTCATTCAGAGCTCCAAGAGAAAACTTCCTTTTTTTTTTGTACTTCAAAGACTATAATATTTGTATTCGTAAGATAGAGAAGAGAGTTTCTTAGACGTGCTTAAGATTCATCTATCACTTCTTTGAGAGAATCTTCATTATCATTATCAGATTGTATCCTTACGATGTGTAAAGGGGAGTATTTACCTCAGTATGAGGTTGTTGTTGAATAGACTGATTAGTCTAAGGATTGTAAGTGGCGTCACAAGTACCCGAATCAAACTTATGGTTGTAGTGGTTCTCAAGTACCCATGTTAAACTTGAGGTAGATAGTGGATTGAAAATCTCAGAAGGAGCCTGTGGACTAGACGTATGTCAGTAAGGACCAAACCAAGATAAGTCAAACTTTGCATCATCTCTTCCCTTACCACTTTATATGCTTATGTCGATTCATTTTTTCTTACTCAGAATTTCTGATGGATTTCATTATATTATGAAAATATTTTTTGATTTTAATTAACACCCAATTTACCCCCTCTTAGGTGATCAGACATTCTCACATACTTCTCTCACATAAATTGAACCCAAGGAACATCCCTTCTCTAAATAAAAGACCAGCTTAGTTTCATCACAAAAACATTATTTTGCAATTTGGCTTGCCTGAGATGTAACCCGCCTTTATCTTTAAATTTGCAAACATTATCCCAAGACAATAAGTGGACCTTTCTCTGCTCATCCCCGCCACCCTAAATAAAATTATGACACTTTTGATCAATCTTCATGCACACAAATATAGGGAGAGATGCCGACTGCATGCTATAGGTTAGAATAGTAGACAAGATTGAGGACACCAAAGTACATTGGGCAGCCATAGGAAGGGACTTTGAGTTCTAAGTAGAGCCTAGCATCCATTTTATCAAGGACAAACTGATAGGTGTGTTTTGAGACCCTTTTGTGATGAATTGGAACCCCTAAATATTTCCCCATATCAAACGTAGGAATAAATCCCAAGAAACTGCTGATCTCTTGAACTTTATTATGGTTCACATTATTTGAGAAGAAAATGTGAGATTTAGAATTATTTACTTTTTCCCCTGAAGCAACACAGAAGTCATCAAGACAAGCTCTAATCAGACCACCTTGTTCCATACTAGTTTTAGCAAATAAGAAAAGATCATTAGCAAAAAAATGAATGGGAAACCATTGTACCATTTTTCTTAAGTTGAAAGGGAAGCCAATGATTTTCCTCAACTTTGTTCTGCTTGAGATGCGCCAGTTTTTCCATCACAATCACAAACAAATAGGGGGACATGGGATCTCCCTGTCGAAGACCTCTAGTAGGATGAAAATTATCGCCATAAGCTCTATTCCACAATAATTGCATATTGGTAGAGGCCACACAATGTCTAACCACAATAACAACATTCTGAGGCAAGTGCAACTCCCGTAAGCAATCCAGAAGAAAGGGTCACCGGACCTGTCATAAGCTTTCTCCAAATCATGAAATAGAGATTACTAATTACTTTTTTGAATACCAAAGAGCATATATTTCCACAATCCACCTCGGAATTATAAGTTTTAAATGTAAAATGATGAGTCCAAAGTAGAGACTACCAATTACTTTTTGAAAACCAAAAACATATTTTTTTCATAATTTAGTTGGAAATAATAAATTTTAAATTCAAAATGACTAGCATCTAATAGAGATTACTAACATATTTTTTTCTAAATAGAAGAAAAAGTTACACATTAATGCTTTCACTAACATATTACCATTAACCACTATAGGCTTTTTTTTTTTTAAACAATTGCAATTTTTTCATTTTTATAAATTTTTATTTTAAAAAAAATATATGAGGTTGTGAGAAGTTCAAAAAAAAAATCTGGATAAATATGGCAAGTGTGTGACCTGCAAAAAAAAAGGCAGTAAATGCCTACAAAAAAAAAAGAATATGTTAATTAAATTTATACTTTCTTGGTTAGCATTTATTTAGCATTTATTACCTTTTTAGCAGGTCACACACTTACCATAGTTATCTGGAATTTATTATTTGTTTAACTTCTCCCAGACTCATAAAGATTTAAAAAAATAAAAAAATGAAACAAATTGTATGGGTTGCCAAAAAAAAAAACCACAGTTATTAATGGTAACATGTTAGTGATAATGTTGATGTGTAACTTTTTCTTCTGTTTGGAAAAAATATGTTGGTAATATCTACTTGAGACTAGTAATTTTATGTTCAAAATTTGTTATTTTTAAGTGAATTATGAAAAAAATATGCTTTTGGTTATTTAAAAATGTAATTGATAATCTCTACTTTGAACTCATTACTTTACATTCAAAATTTGTTATTTCTAAATGAATTGTGAAAAAAAAAATGCTCTTTGATATTCAAAAACAGTAGTTCATAATCACTACTTTAGTCACTTTGCATTCAAAACTTGTTATTCTCATATGGGTTATTAAAAAAAAATGTCCTTCTTGAATCAATTACTATCCCATTTCACATCTTATGAATTAGAAAAAAAAAAATGCTAATGATCTCAACTTGAGACTTGCATTTTACATTTAGAACTTATTATTTTCATCTAAAGTATTGTGAACAACTTGTAGTCAAGTATAAGAGTTAACTTATTTGTTTATTTTTTGTATTATAATGTTGACAAGAGTTGCTGGCTCAATGCTCAGACTTAATTTTAGCACGAGAGATCAAATCTCACCAACCCCACTTACAAAATAAAAAACCTCCCTTAGCAGTTAGCTCACTAGTAGTTGATAGCTTTGATGCTAGCAGGAGCCTGGAGTGGTGGTGGAGTGGTGGTGTGGTGGTGGCTGGACGTTAGTGAGTATTTAGTAAGGAGATCTTTACTTTGTTCCCTATAGATGGGAATATATTTGCTTGAATTTCAAAATCCTAATTTAAAATAATGATATATTACAAGTACATTATTTAAAAGAGTAAAATATTGTAACCTCTCTTATATTTTATTTTAATTACACGGATTTCTCCTCTATTTTAAAAATATATACCTAAGTTCAAACCATCAAGAATATTTCAAAAAGATGCTTTTTTAATTAAAATTTATATTGAAATACTTTCTATTTACTAATTTACTCTTCATAATACTAAATCCCTAAATTTTTGTTAAAACTATCTTGACGAATTTAAGATTTTTTCCTTTACCTTATTTTTTTAATTTTTGAAAATTGTTGTTTGTTTAATGTTTTTATTGTATGGGGCCAAAAAATTAAGTACTTTAGTTAATGTAAACGTAGAAAAAAATATTGAATAGAAACTTGGTTAATTTTTTAAACAAATATATAATCGATCAAATTAAATAAGTTATAAATGTTTGCAACAAATCTTTTTTAGTTTGAAAAATTATATAAAAAATTTAAATTATAAATTTAAATGATTTATATAATTTTTCAAACTCACATAATTCATATTATGTGATGAAAAAAATAAGCATTCAAAATATTTTCTAGCCATTAAAAAAATCTTAAGTTTCAATATTTCATGAAGAATTAAAATTATATAATTCTATAATATAATCAAAATTAAAATTTTATGACATATAAAACATTTTGAAAATGCAAATGCATTAAAATTATTTTTTTATTGTATCAAAAATTATTTTTTTTAGATATAAATTTTTAACTAAGAGTTATGTTAATGAGAAATATTTTGGTTGAAACAAAAATTTAAAAGTTAAATTTAATAATCAACTAACAGTTTGATAGATAGAAATAAAATTTTAAAAATATAAAGGAGGTTTGTGTAAGATAGATTTTAATTTAAAGGAAGATTTATACATGTTTTCAACATAAAGAAAAAATTTCTGTAATTTAGATAAAATAGCAGAGTAATCAATATATTTTGCTTTATTTAAGATTATACAAATTTTAAGGCCTTTAAATGTCGTTTTTGCCAAAAACTAATCTAACGGACAAGAAGTGGTGGGTAAATTACACTTTTTTTTTTTTTTGGGTGACAAGGTAAATTGCACTTTGCAAAAAGCCAAAAACCACATGGGGGACAAAGTGAGCGAGATAAACGAGGGGACCCAAAAGAGCGCAGCAGGTCCGAAGAACAAAGCACAGCGGAAAGGCAGAAGAGTTCAAAGAAAAGGTATGCTCGCTGACACTGAAATGGCAGAATGATCACTGATACGGACCCGCCTCCTGTCCCTCCCACTGTTTCGGCCTCCACAGATTCTGCCTCACCTTCCGCCTCTTCTAGTGCCACGGATTCTTCATCCCATTCTGCCTCCGCTCTGCCTTCGGCCGATACCGATCAGGCCGGGCAGCCACCGGCACCGAAACCTGTGATCTTCTCCAAGGATAACAATTCGCTCTTCAGCGGTGGCGGCGTCAGGTGGGTCCCACTTTCCGCTACTCATGGGACGCTGAAGTCGGGTGCTTGTTTGAAATTTTCAATTTTTCAATTTCGCTTCCCACCTCTCCCCATTTTATGTTGTGCTTGATTGGGCTGCATATTGGGTTTTCGAGTTCTTATGGGAAATTATGAATATTGAGATGGAGGTCTCTTATTATGCCTGACTCTTGTTTGCATATCATGGTCATGGCATGTGGTATATGGTTGATTTTTGCAGCGCAATTCGTTTAATGTTGCCCGTTATTATTGAATTCGGTTCATGACCCGGCCATGTGTTGGTTTTTCAAGAATTTGTCAGGAATATTTTTATTATGACTATAGCACGAACCGGAGAAATTCGTTAAAATTTGTGATTAGATTGTTGAAATCAGTTGTCAGTGGTGACTAAAAAGAAAAATTTAACGGAGCCATTCGTTAGTGATGGTTTCAACATGTTAGTACCCATGAATCCTTGTAACTCTGAATAAATAATTATATGATGTTTTACAAAGACCAAGCTGCCTATCAAGGGGTCAACTGCTAGTTAACAGCGACGCACACTTGAATGAGTTCCTGGGTTTGAACTCGGCGTTGATAAAAAAACCTGCCTATCAAGGGGATTGGCATTCAGGAATACTTTCCTGTGTCAAGTTTCTGTGAAGTGTGGGGGTTTTTTGTTTTTATTTCTGTTCCTCTATGTCAGAGGGGGCTCTTAAATTAGTCATCCTTTGAAAATATTGTTGATGTTAATACCCATGTCTAATGATTATTTTGCAATTGGCTGAAGCTCGTTATGATAATCATTCAATTTTTCATTTAATGATTTGATTGAGTCCCCAGTTTTCATGCCAAAAAAGTGAATGATTTAGAAATGTATGCAAATTGAGGGAGGATTTCTGATTCGCTTCTTTCAAAATATCTATTAATTATGTAGTATCTTTCAATTAAGTCACCAGTGGATGCAGACCTTTTTAAGCTATTGCGTTCAAGGGTTTTGGGAATCTTAAGGAGCAAGCAGTCTTTTTGGCAGGGTGTTTCTGCTGGCTTGTATTGTCTATAATGTTTCTCTCGGCAAATTTTCTTGAGGAAGGAACTTGGCCTCCCTCTAGCTGTCCAGTCAACAAATGGTCTTTCAAGATGAGTTATTTTGAGAATTTGAAGGGACTGTAAAGCGTTTTTGAGCTAGTGTTGCTTACTTCTTTTTTCACTTGTTTTATTAATTCTCTGGGAGCCTTGTTTGTCCCCATTTGATGTATTACATGCTTTTCCAATCAAATAGATGTTGGGCCTTCTGTGTTGCACAAAGCTTGAAGTTGAAGCCACATTGTTTTTGGCTCTGAATAGTTTGGCTTTCAATAGGTTTTATATATATATATATATATATATATATATTTATATATAGATATAGATATTGATCTTTAATTTAAAAAAAACGATTATCTTTTCCTTCCAATATTTATAGCAAGAAACCATAAGTTGATTTCTCACTTAGCGTAAACCCAAGACCACTAAAGCTAGAATTAAATTGTTCGATACCATAATTTGATGCAAACTATAGCTTGTCAAAACATATATGTTACGTTGGGATTAGTGGGGATTTGGATTTGGATTTGAACCAAATCCATGGATGCATAAAATTTTATGAATTTGGATTTGATCCAAATCCAAGAAATTTTTTTATTACAATTCGTTTAATATTTCAAATACCTAACTAGCCTAATTATTTCAAATCCACACCATCCTCGTTCAATACTACCCAAACAAGTGGATAAGCTCCGCAAGTAGGACAACTCTACATGTAGGATAACTCATTCTTATCGGTGTGGATTTTTAATACTACCCAAACAAAGGATTTTAAATACATGAATTTTAAATGTTAAATTGAAGCCCAAATCCATCTATCTAAACGGCACCTTATATCATTTCAAATGGAATGATCACATTGTGGTGATATCTTCGGTTTTCCTTTTCAATAGACATTCCACAACATCTGTTTATCAATTGTTTTTACCAAATATGTGCATAAATTGATTGTCATTTGAAATTGTTGGAAAATTGAACCTCCAAAATTTTAACTGTAAATTTTGGTTGCATAGATTTTGTTCTTACTGAATAGTATACTGATTGATGGTGTTCTTTTTCGTAATAATGTTATAATTAAAACATGATGTAAAACACTGTTCGTTGGAAAAGTTTTAGAGTAACTTTTTCTGCTTTAACAAACAGGAGCCTTGCCAGGATAATTCAATTTGGCAATACATGCGTTCATCTGGGCTTTGTAATTTGTCTGAACAGCTTCTTCTAGCTGTTGTCTACGGTTGATTTGTTTTGAACTTTTCACTGTCAGCCTAATTGTCAAATTTTCCTTTAATTAATGCTCTGACGGAATCTCCCAGCAGAAAAACTTGTGCTTAGAAGAAGCAAGTTTAGAAATAGAAACTGGTTTTTAAATTTTGGGTCCACTGCCCAAACAAAATTTGAGGGGGTTCTGAATATACTTTTGCTATTGTTATCATAGAAAATACCAGATACTGGGTATTTTTAGATGTTCTTACCCTTTTATGTGCTATTGACAAACGATTTGTCTGAAAAAGAAGGGACATCATGGCAAAATATGATGGCATGATAAATTTCTTTTTTCACCCTTTTTGATAAATGATATGTTTCTTGTTGAGAGGCTTAAGGGTTTCAATACTCAATAACAATTCCATGAGTATTATTTTACTAGGACTTTGGAAGTTCCTAAGACTGATAAAAAGCACCATGGATTTGTAGGATTGCCTTCAATATTTTGTTCACGCTGTTATTGTCCCTAAAACAATTGTGTAATAGACTAAAGTGGTCTGTCTTTTATTAGCTGTCTCTCGGGAAGTCAAAATGGAAGATTGAGCTATGGATATTCCAGCTTCAAGGGTAAAAGGACTTCAATGGAGGATTTCTATGAGACAAGGATATCAGAGGTTGATGGTCAGATGGTTGCCTTTTTTGCTGTTTTTGATGGTATGTTGAAAGTTCCTGTTTTCCAGCACACAGGCCTCATCTTTATTTTTTTTTTTTTCTAATAAAGGTAAAAAGCAGTTTGTTATCTATATGTGTTGTGATATTAGTTTTAGTATTTTGTGGCATGAAATAGAGGAAAAGTTGTTATGAAATGTTTGTGTTCCCTTCCTTGTCATCCTTGTCTTACAGCAATGTAGAACAGAGATGCAAAGAGGGATGGAAGTCAAAGACAAAAGCAGAAACAGAAAGGATGAGATGGAGATCTGAAGGGGGAAAGGGAGGAGCAGGAGAATATGAGGGATTAGACAGAATTCTGAACCAATCAAGTCTTTCTCCTAATAATTACTCCCAATACAATAGCAAAAGGCTTAATATAGGAGCATAGTGTATACAGAGATAAGAATAATAGAAGTGTAAAATACGTAAAAAATCAGAAAATATATAATTATACATTGAATAATCTATTGTGTTATCTTTAGTCACTAACTTATCAGTAATTAAAGTCTCACGTCTCTTTTCATGGTCCATTGTAGAGGTTGATAAGTTTGGCTTGAGACTGGGTTAGGAAACTTCGTGTTTTTGCTTATGATGAATTCTTACAATTCTAAAAGTTATTAAATTGAAAAAAAGGATAAAGCTCAGAAAGGTTAGGTGGATCATCTTGTGGTTTTACCTTCTGCAATTAAGATTTTAAAGATGGTCAGGGTTGGGCATTTAGCTGCAAAATAACACAGAAATATGCCAAAGCTAATTTCAAATCCTAGATCAGCCCAGAAATCCTAAACTCATAAAAGTTAGAATTTACTTATGTAAAATTAGAGAGACTATACGCCATTCTTTTCAGCTTTTATAGATTACTGGAAAATCCATCAATAATCAAGGCAGCAAACAAGTATGAAATAATAAGTCCGAGAACCTGGTTAATCTCTTAGACTGATGAACTGGTTACCTTCTACTATCAAATTTACTCGTCTTGGAATTGAAAACAATGAACCATGTGACTCAGCTCAGGCTTCAATACTTCATGCAACGTACAGAAAAATATGCATCGTTCTATGCTAAATTTGAAGGCAATGTAGCCTATATCTTACCTATATCTCTTATTCATTTCTTCCATTTCTTTTTATTCCTTTTCTTCATAATCTTATTGAGCTCATTGCTAGGGATGGCAATGGGTTTGGGTATTTTGGGTAACAGGTGATCTTCATCTGAAAAGTGTCCCCGATTTTCATAAGATGTCAATTATTGGATAAGGTGTAGATAGCAGAACTGAAATCTTATTTTAAGAAAAAAATAGGTGGATTAAGATTTAGCCTTTGGATGCCTGGTTCATCCTAAATCACTGAGCGGATATGGTACCCTCACAAAATATCTAGAATCTGTTTATTAGACGTAGTAATTAGACTATATATTATTATCCATAAGAAAATTATATTATATACTACCGAATTTATTTGCTACCTATTTATTTGTTGAGCTAATGTTCTTCATGCGTTATTAAAGGCTAAATTTGCTGATTCCTATATTATACTTTAAGCTCTAAAGAAATATCATACAGTATCATAGTCCAAGAGATATAAATTAGTAGCACCAAAAAAAAAAAAAAAAAAAACAAAACAAAACAAAAGAATGATACAAAAAACTATATAAAAATCAAATGAATCATGAATAATAGTGGTTCTTTTGAAAAATGTTTAACAAGTGGAATGGCGAAATGGGCCTGGATCCCAAAAAGGAGCTAAGCTGGTAATGTTTACAAGGAAATGCCTCCCTACACAACTATTGAGATAAGAAGATCATTAATTATAAAATTTAAATATATATTTTATATTGTATTTTGAAAAATAAGTATAATTGTTTAATATTTTTGGATATTCTGTGTCGCCATGGCTTGTGCTCAATCCTTGTAAAATCATTTAGGTACTTTAGGTACAGATATTAGAACTATACCCATTTACCAAATGTTGAATTGACTTTGGATATTGGATATTGGATATATACTTTGGATCTGGATCTAGATGTCTAAAATTTGAGTGGTTACATGCCCATTGTTCCTTCCGTTTTTTGGACCAAGCCCATTGTTCCTTCTCATGATTGTTATGTTTTACACCTTTTATTCATATCTCTACACCCTTTTTTCTTATTCTTTTTTTCCTTTTCTTTCTTTCTTCTTCTATCTGTGACGTTCGTGTTTCTACTTTTGTTTCTTTTCTGCTTACTTTTATTTATTTTTGGTTTTTATCAGGTCATGGAGGTTCTCGGACCGCTGAATACTTGAAAAAGAATCTCTTTAAGAATATAAGCAGCCATCCTGACTTTATCAAAGACACAAAGACAGCCATTGGTATGACCGTATGAGCATTTATATATTATGTTCAATAGGTGGACCTCATGAGAAGAAAAAATGAGAGAGGCAAGGCATGCCACAGTTAATGTGGTTTGTGGCAGAGTTTAGAGGAACACACCCCCCCCCCCAAAAAAAAAAAAAAAAAAACAACAACAACGACAAAAGTTTTATGGGATTATTTTGCAGTTAATTGTTGTAGCTAGTTACTGAAGGGAGAGATAGTTATGATAACTAAGTGATTTTACTACCTGCTGGGGTTGGTTATTAAGGGGTAATGATTAGATTGGCTGTTAATGGAGAATACAAGTTCTATTTGGATTGGTTGAGGCTATCAGTTCCATTCTTTTGGTAGAACCAACCCGGATGGCTAGATAATTAAGTGAATAAAAAAAAAAGCTGAAATATAATCTAGTAGAGGGTTGAGGCAAGAATCTCACTCTCAACTCACTAATAGCCGGGATAAAATCTACTAAAATTTACTTAAGCAAGGATCTCACTTAACTAGATTTAGTAGCCAAAAGGAGAATCTCCAAATTACTGAACAAATGTTTATTTCTCTCCTAAAAAGATGCAAACAGACTCAACCACTACTCCAGTCTCCCTATTTCTTCTCTGGTGCGTTAATGTGCTGACTTGGAGTCCTATCAATACTCCCTCCCTGAAGACACGACTTGCCTTGAACTGTTCCCTTATCCATTGGATTTGCCTTTGACCGATGGTTCCCATTCATTTGAATTTCTAATAAGAGCAGACTTTGAAATTGGGCAGCAGTATGGGTCCCTGGAATAACTCCCTGAAGCTTGTACTTTTTGCCATTTATCCAGAAAATCATGAACATCTCGTTCCAATTGGTTTGGGTGGTATTCAATGAAGCCAGCCATTTAATGCCCAGAACAAGATCAATTCCACTTAAAGTGAAGGGGAAATAATCTTGTTTAATAACTAAATCAGAAATTTTTACCTCTAAATCTGTGCAAATACGGTTGCATTTTACCACTCTACCATCTCCTGTTTGAACTCCAAATGAAGACGTCACACTAGTAGGAAGACACAAATCAGAAACTAATGCTTCTGATATAAAATTGTGAGTAGACCCACTATCTACTAAAATCAGAATCTCTCGGCCCATTATAGAACCTTTGAGCTTCATGGTTCCAGCATTTGCCTTCCCTACCATGACGTTAAACATAACCTCAACTTCCCCTCCATCTCCCATATCGTTGACATCTTCTTTTGAGGGTAGGATAATTTCTTCTCCTTCTTCAATGAGTTCTAGGAGAGAAAAAGAGGAGTTGCAGCGGTGCCCTGGTTTGAAAACTTCACCACAACAATAACAAAGCCCTTTCTCCTTGCAACGTTGGCGTTCAGATTCCAAGGTAGAGGAACTGGGTGATTTTGCTGATGGGTGCTGAGACAAATATGTGTTTGGGGTTGGCGGTGGAAGGAGCTTTGGAATTGCAGATGAAGATGGTTGTGCGATGCTTGTGTCTTGTGCTGGCAGGGTATAGGGAAAAAAAGTGCGAGTTACTCCTGAGGCTATGTTGGGCTTAGGCCCATTAGCATTTTGGAGCTTAGTTTCATATTCTAATGCTAAACTGGTTGCTCGATAGACAGTTCTAGGCTTATGTATACGTACATCCGCCTTCAACTCTTCCTTGAGCCCATTGATAAAGACACCTAACAAGCAATGCTCTGACCAATTCTTGACGCGTGAGGACCTGCGAGCAAATTCAGAACGATACTCCGACACCGTCCCTGTCTGTCGAATGCTACAAAGGTACTCATCTGGGTTTTGGTATTCTGGTGGTCCATAGTTTTCTTGAAGAGCCTTCACAAGTTCATCCCAATACACTACCGTGCGTTCATTGTTAACCCAAGAGAATAGATCCAGCGCGTCTCCCTCCAAGTACATTGATGCCACATCCACTTTCAAATCTTCTGGGGTGTCATAGTACCTAAAATATTTCTCTGCCTTCAATATCCAACCTCGCGGATCCCCACCGCTAAACTTGGGGAATTCAATTTTTGTGTAAGGCATTCGGCGCCTATAAGATGCTTCAGGTTCGTCCTCACTGTCAGCTTCCCAATGAGAACGATGGTTTCCTCTTCGACTTCTTTCAGATGCAGCCTCCAAATTGGCTACTCTGTTAGTTAATGCTTCAATATTTTCTAGTCGCGCAGCAATTGTGGTCAAAGGATCACTATCTCCTGCTAAAGGATTTTCAGGTGGGTTGGGAATGTGGGATGATCTAGTCTCAACCATGGCTCTGATGCCAATATGGTAGAACCCGGATGGCTAGATAATTAAGTGAATAAAAAAAAAGCTGAAATATAATCTAGTAGAGGGTTGAGGCAAGAATCTCACTCTCAACTCACTAATAGCCGGGATAAAATCTATTACAATTTACTTAAGCAAGGATCTCACTTAACTAGATTTAGTAGCCAAAAGGAGAATCTCCAAATTACTGAACAAATGTTTATTTCTCTCCTAAAAAGATGCAAACAGACTCAACCACTACTCCAGTCTCCCTATTTCTTCTCTGGTGCGTTAATGTGCTGACTTGGAGTCCTATCATCTTTCCATGCTGTTTTGCTACCTGGGCTGTCTTGAAGAAGAAACATGTTTTCTTTTTAATATTTTTTTTCCTTATTGCAGTTGAAGCATTTAAACAGACAGATGTTGATTACCTGAAGGAGGAAAAGGGTTATCATAGAGATGCTGGATCCACTGCATCAACAGCTGTATTGGTGGGGGATCGAATTGTTGTTGCCAATGTTGGTGATTCCAGAGTAGTTGCTTCTAGAGCTGGTTCAGGTTGGTGCCTTCTCAGTTTTTTCCTTTCATGTAGAAAGAATTCAGTTTAAATTAGGGAGAAAATATTCCTAATTTGTTGATCAGTACTGTAAACATATTGCAGTGTAATTCAAAGGTGGGTTTAGATGACTTCAGTTTCTTTAGTTTAGGATGTATGCTGTTTTATGTTATAAAATACCCAGAAAGATCAACCACGCAATTTTTTTTTTTTTTGTTCCCCCTTCCTCTTTTCCTTCCCTTTCTTTGTTATGTGAATTTTATGTGTTTTGCTGTAGCTATCCCTTTGTCAGTTGATCACAAACCTGATAGATCTGATGAACGTCAGAGAATTGAACAGGCTGGCGGATTCATCATGTGGGCAGGTATATTTGCTCTTTTGTTTTTATTTACTTTTTCTGGTTTTTTGGCTGTTACCAGTGCTCTACTAACCTGTATCTTGTCTTTCATCTATAAGTTATTGATAGTTAATGTTTGATTCTTGAGTTAGTCCAGTTAAATGACAAGAGACCTCATGTGGGTTAATTTAACGGGTTATGAACTTCTTTTCGTGGATAATACTAAATCGCTCACTCTCCTACTTATCTTCACAGGCACATGGCGGGTTGGCGGTGTTCTAGCAGTTTCCCGTGCGTTTGGTGACAAACTTCTTAAGCCATATGTTGTTGCTGATCCAGAAATTCAGGTTGTCAAAAATTATAAATTTGACCTCCCATTTGTTAAGACCTGTATTGTCGTATATATGCTATCTGCTAATTTCTTACCCTTTTTCATCACTGCTGTGGCTTAGGAAGAAGAGATTAATGGTGTAGATTTTATAATAATAGCTAGTGATGGACTTTGGAACGTCATATCAAACGAGGTTAGTTTATCTTTACACGTTTAATATTAGCCAAACCCTAAATCTCTCTTTTTTTTTTTTTTTTTTTTTGAAGGGAAAAAGAATATAGGTTGAATTTTTTGTTGGGAACTATTCCCTCTACTACCGATACTATTTATGAGACACTTAACTGAATCTTATAGATTAGGAAAATCGGTTCAAATTTGTTAATAACTTTGACTTGTTACGAAATCATCACAATATTTTAAAATTATCCATAAATAAATGGTGTGTGGGCTCTCTTTTTCTGCATTCAAAATTGAAACCTAATCCTAATTTTAACACATCAGGTTTTTGGTCCACGTGTGGGATAATGGCTTTGTTGTCCACACTAATCAGAACGTAGAAAAGAAAGAGGGTTGGTTGCATTAGTAAAATAAGGAAAGGTTTATCCCCCCCCCCCCCACAGGGGGAAGAAAGAATCATAAATGCTTCATTCGTACATTTTGTAAAGTGGCTTATACTAAGGAGCATGAAGAATTTCTAGATGTCTTATAATTAGGACTAGAGAGTATATACTTGGCTAGAATCTGTAACTGCTTCTTCATTCTTTTTCAATAAATAATCTTTTTGGGTGATATTGGAAAGAACAAATTAATCACGACATATGTCAGGTTCATCTTTTTGGTTTTTGACAATTTTCTTTGTGGTGCATAATTCTGGGCTATTTTTATTGCATCATCCATCTCAAGAAGAATTTAGTGGCTAGACATCTTAATTTTCCAATTATGTGGAAACTTGTTTTGACTTATCAGATGCCTAGGTATTACATATATGTATTTAAAAATTTAAATTCCCTTGTTATAGAATTACTGCACCTAGATTGGAAGATTTAATACTATGTGGCGTCAAGGAGAGGTTCAATTCAAAAAGCTTAATTATTTCTAGCATATCCTTGAACAATAGGGCTCTTTGGGTTGGATGCGCTCACCCTTTAATGGAACTCAATTTGGGAGTGACAAGAATTGAACTTTGGATTACTTGCTCTGGCAAGTTGGCTTGTCAAGAGCCATTTCCGTTGACTCCTTGACATTGCGTCATAGTTTTGTGACTAAGTAGGAATATAGGCCAGTGGCTCATGTGCCGCAATGGTGCATTTGCTCCTCTTGTAACAAGGAGGATGTAGGCTCAAACCCTGGAGTGGATACGGAGAGTGTTTGTTTCCTTCCCATGGGAAACGAGTGTAAATATGCGTGGGTGTGTGGCTGTAATTGGCCCCTTTAAAAACAAAAAGATAAGTGGGAATATAAATTCCTGAACATGGTGGATGGTACACACTCCTCTCAGTCTCTTATTCCTCTCTAATTCTCCTCAGTTTCTCTTCTTCTCTTTCCCCTTTATCTCCTGTCTTCTCTACTTTTCATAATAGTGTTTGGTTCTTGGCACTAGCCATATTTGAAGCAAGATGCAAGCAAATTGAAGAACCATGGAGCCCGTTTTATATTAAACAAAAGAGTACCTGAATTATAATATATAAAAATCATGTGAAGAAAAACATTCATTTCTTTCTATTAATTCTGATTTGTAACAAGGCTAAAGCACACATTGGGTCTCTTAACTTTATAGAAGGTTTCAATTTGGCCCCTTATTTTTAAAAAGGATAATCCTTTGACCGTATAATAGTTAGGCTTAAATGATGATCTTTTTGTAACAATTATGGTTGTTTGAAAATTAAACTTAATATGTTAGCATTTTAGAATGTTTTATCAACATTTAAGATTCAATGTCATCATTTTTTGTTAACGATTTTAGGATTAGAGGACTAAAAATATACTCCTCTGGTTCTATGTATAAGTCACTTCGACCATGTTTCACACAGATTAAGAAAAACCTTAAACTTCATTGACTCTCATTTAAAATTTAACAGCTTTCTAACTTTATCTTTTTTTAATATATATTATACCCTATAAAAACAAAGTCAACATAATAATAAATGAATTGTAAGATTGTACATTTACATGAAAACTTTTATAGGGCCGAAAACTTTCTTCTCTATCTGCTCTGTAAATAGGACCAGAGAAGTACTTTTTAAAGTTAAAGAAGCAAATTGAAACTCTCTATAAAGTTAAAGGACTAAATATATACTTTAGCTTTGTAATGCAAATATGCAATAAGAATTTTTTGTGTCTAGACTCGAGCTAGTAGCTATGGCCATGTAGGCTTGTGATAGATTGGGTTGAGGTTAGAAATATGGAAGTTATTCCTACTATACAAGCAGTGCATATTATACCTTTTTTTGTCTATCATTTATCATTTCCTCCCTTGCTTCTTTTTTTTTTTTTTTTTAATTAGCTCTTATTATTGACGGCGCTATTCAAATAACTATGCATTCGCAAAGAAATCAATATACATATATGTTGTAGTAATACAATAACAATAAAGCCTTATCCTACCGGTGAAGTTGGCTACATGGAGCGCATAACGCTATTAAGCTTTATCCAAAACCAAATCTTTAGATATATTGTTAATTAAAAGATCTTGCTCGATGACTTCATTAAATGTTCTTTTAGCCTTCCTCTATTTCTTTTTAGAAGACTCCATACTGTTTGATCAACTCTTTTCATCGCCATATCCAAAGACCTTCTTTGCACGTGAACAAACCATTTCAAACGGTTTTCTATCATTTTCTCATCAAGAGTAGCCACTCTAACTTTTTTGTGTATATGTTCATTATGAATCGTATCTTTTCTTGTATGACCACATATCTATCTCAATATTCTTATTTTGACTACTGCTATTTTATGTTCATGTTGTTCTTTTAAAAGCCAACATTCACTACCATATAGCATTGCTGATCTTATAACAGTGCGATAAACTTTACTTGGACCTTATTGGGTATTTTCCAATCACAAATAACTCGTCATTTTTCTCCATTTAAACCACCTAGCTTGAATTATATAACTAACATCACCATCAATTTTACCATCTTTTTGCATAATTGGTCCTAAATATTTAAACTTTTCTACTTGTAGAATGACTTGATCTCTCAGTCTAACCTCCAAATTTGTTCTAGCTCATCTCTTATAAAAAATGTAATGCATATATTCTGCCTTGCTTCTACTCACCAAAAAAAAAAAAAAACCTTTGACTTCAATGTTCTTCTCCATGTCTCAAGTTTAACAATAATCTTTTCTTTTGATTCAGCTAACGGAACTATATCATCAGTAAAAAGCAAGCATTTAGGGCTTTCTTTTTTTATGTGCCCAGTTAGATCATCAAGGATTAGGTTTAAACAAATAAGAGCTCAAAGATGATCCCTAATATAGGTCAATCCTTATAGGAATGTCTTTTGTCTCAGTGCCTGGTGTTTTAACACTGGTTGTGACCATACATGTCTTATATGACTTTATTCTAAGTCAAACATACACTTTTCTTTTCTAAGGCTCTCTAAAGCACTTCTCTTGACACACGGTTGTAACTTTTTTCCAAATCAATAAAAATCCTATACAAATCTCTTCCGTGGCTTCAACACTTTTCTATTAACCCCCTCAGCAAATAAATCGTTTCTGTTGTCAACCTTCCTAGCATGAACTCAAGTTGGTTTTCAAAAATACAAGTCTTCAATCTCAACCTGTGTTCTATCACTTTCTCCCACAATTTCATAGTCTATCTCATGAGCTTAATCCCTCTATAGCCAGCATAGTTCTGGATATCTTTTTTATTTTTGTAAATAGGTATTAAAGCACTTTTTCTCCAATCATTAGGCATTTTTCTTAAGAGTGTAATATCCCTACATATTCTTGTAAATATGCTGTAGTAACAATAAATTATAATATAATATATGTTTATGTATAAAGGGGAATAAATACATGAAGAATAACAAATAAATCATCCCAGAATTAAAGGACGTTACGTTTAGAACTCTGGTTGTGGTAAGATACTTTATGCGTCGTCCTTTCACAGAATGTAGAGCCAGCCGATTCTCTGAACAATGACTTCCTCTTAACATTTATTGCAAATACCCTTGGCTGCCTTCTCCGCTTTTTTGCTTAATTGTCTTCATGCTTTGCCAGCTTTATGGTATGGTCAATTTTCTGTTGCATGCTACCTTGCCAGTTGCCAGTTTAAATTTGCATGCACTTCGAATTTTTCTTTTTATTCTTCTTTGTTCCAGAATAAATCATACAATGTCATAGTCAATTGTTTGTAGAGTTCAAATGTTGGACTTTGTCTACTTAAATTCTCCAAACATATATTGATTGTCTGCTAGAAGCAACTCTCAAGGGTCTTGCTTCTGAATTTATGATTCAAAATGCTAGGGACTTTTTTTTTTTTTTTTTTTGGCCCCATCAAATCTAAGAAATGCTGAATACACAACCTGTTACCTTTTGTTTGGATGGAAAGAAAATTAGGGAGGAAAGAATACTAGGAGGGAAAACTCCTTCAGAATAGTAAATTTTTTTATTATTTTAAAAAAAATTTCTTCCTAGTATTTCGTCCCTCCCACTTTCCTCCCCATCCAAACATAGCCTTATTCTTCTCAGCTGTGGTCTTTATGCATGAACTTTTTTGATTAGGCATTTGAAACGCCTTTTGCACATTTGCATCACAATGAGACGGTTTTGGTATTTTATCATGACTGAAATAAATCTGTTTGTCCCGTTCCTTTTCTTTCAGGAAGCGGTGTCTTTGGTGCAAAACATAACAGACGCAGAAGCTGCATCCAGAGAACTTATTAAAGAAGCCTACACACGAGGAAGCTCAGACAACATTACTTGTGTGGTCGTTCGATTTGATTTATCTTGAGCTTAGGTATGTGTGAATTTGAAGGCTTAATTTCGTTTGTTGCTTTTACAGAGTAATTTTGAACCTGCATGGTGCTGAACGCCTATAATTTTGTTTAAGAAATTACTTACATCAAGTTTCTTGTATTTAGTATATCAAGTTTTTCAATCACACTTAGCTATATATCCCATCTTCTTCTTTTTCTTTTTTTTTTTCCAATGTCAATTTATAGTTTAATGATAATATTTTTAAAATAGGACGTATAGCCATGTGTTTGAAAACTTGACATTATGGATATGAGAAACTTGACCTTAACTATTGTTCTTTTGTTTAAAGTGCCTGCACTAATTATAGTTCGTCTTCACATTGCAGTTTTCTGAAGTTCAAGGTGCTCCAAGCTGGAAAATGTGAAAAAGCTTGTAGGTTCATTTCTTTTTCCACTGTAACATTACTTTTCTCGGCCCCACGTTAGTTAATATAATCCTTTCACGTCTAAAATAGGATTTTCTGCTTATGATTTCCTTGATCCGTTATTTATTATATAGTGTCTGATTTCTAGTTCCCCCCTCCCTCTCTAAAAGGTTTTATGGCCAATTTGTTCATGTGATTGCTAGTGATAATGGAGAAATTGAGCGGAAAATATTTGGGTTTTTTATTGGCTTTTGTGGGTCATTATTGCCTTTAGTGCTCCATTGACCACGTGGATCATTAAGAGTTAACCAGTTATCACGTTGTTCTTAAACTAGTTGAAATTCTCGCTTGCAAAAAAAAAAAAAATTGTGGCAAATCTATTTATCGAATACTTCGGTGTTCATAGTTTGGTTTTCTTTAGTTTTCAGCTATTTCTTTAATCCCAATTAAGTGTGACCGACTGATTTGATATTATTTCAGAATGAGAACTACGTTTCTGTCACAACCCAAACCTCGAGCAGAGACCGGTGCATGCATAGACTATATATTTTAACTAATTTTAGCGAGATAAATATATAAAAAAAAAAATTGTTCCATAAAAAGCACAAGAAAAATTAGGGATGCCAAACTCCTGCGTCTGGCTTAGCTTAGCAATATAATATCAAAATGACTAAATCATGGATATTAATATATTAATATTACTCTTTCGGTTTTTAATATAAAACCTTAAGATTTATTTAACTAATTTAATTAGATTAAGGAAATTATGTAAGTTAGTTAATTATAAAAAATGTCACACGTTTTTCTTAAAATACCATAATCATCTTTTTTAATACCCTATTTTTCTCTTTTACTTGATTATAGTTGAGGGAGCATACATAGGGGTAATTTAGAAAAAATTAATAAATATGATAAATGGGTCTTATATTTAAGATTAAAATTAACTTAACAACTATGGACTGGAGTAGTAAAAATGTGATGCTATTCATAACTTGTGTGTGTTATAAACTTTTTGTTTTTAATTGTGTAATGTATAAGATCATCTGTTTTGCTTTTAGTTCTTGAAATAAGACTAATTTTTTTAAATAAAAAATATTGAGCTATACTATTTTCACTCATGGAAGTTCAATCTCATTTTAGTTTATGAAATTTGAAATCAATAATTTTAGTTTCTGAAATTTGACCTCATGTTAGTTTGCCTAAAGATTTTTAAGAAACAAAACCTAAACGTCAAGTTTTAAGAACTAAACATAATATTAACTCTAAATTTTTATCCAAATTAGCCCTAATTTTTTTTCTTTCGTTTTTAGCCCAAAAAAAGTCCACTTTTGATCAGCCCATGATTTTCTTTTAAAAAAAAATAAATAGAGGTTTCACTTTTGAATATACATGCTTGTATTGATATGTAACAGTTTTTCTCACTAATTAGTTGGGTACAAATCAATAAGTGAGTATGCTTGTTGGTGATTGGGCGTAAGGAAGCACAAGCTTATTGTAACACCATGCTTCATTAATGAATAGCTTGTCTAATCTTTATCTTTAACGTCTAATCTAATGATATGATTTTTGATTCACAAAAATTTAGGTCTTGTTTGGATCCTCATTTTGAAAACAATTTTCTGTTTTTAAAAATAAAAAAATAATTTGGTAATTTGTTTTTAGTTAGTTGTTTTAAAAAGAAGTATTAGAAAATATTTTCTTATTTTTGTGTTTGTATTTTTATTTTTGTTTTAAAAAATTGGAGAAACATTCTTCTCTTTTCACTCACCGCCAACCTTGTATCACTGTTGGTGATTGCCAAATGTGATTTTTTTTAATAATTATTCAAACATTTTTTTTTTGTTTTTTAATACGCATGATTAGCAATGATATTTTAGTAAAGATAACATTTATTTATTACAAATAACTTTCTTAATCTACTCAAATTAGTCAACTAGCTATTATATTAAGGACCAAAAGTACTATTTACTTAGCAATCTTCATAGGTTTCTTTTTCCCCAAGCCTTAAACATTGCAAGTATGGAGTTCCTTTTATATATGCAATTTGAGGGTAAGCATTTGATTATTTGTGTTTTTGAGATTTGTTCCAAAAATGCATGCTTGAGCTTCTGTTCTCCGGCGTCCCTGTGCAGTTTCCGTCATCTTCCGGCCTGACTTTGGCAATGAAGAGGAAAAAGTTGAAATACATTTCTCATTTCGCTTTCAAAAATCATTTTTTTTTACCGACTAAATATTGTCTTAATCGCTAATTATATAAGGTATTTTTTCCCATTCGCCGTTTTGCTTCTATATGGCTTATTTTTCATCTTTCGTTTGTCAAAGTGTAAAGACCGATGGGTTTAAAATAAAATTAATCATTTTAATTTCCTGATAGGCCAATGTGACTCTGCTCTCAAAATCCCTGGCCCGAAACAGGGGAAGAAGGAAAAGAAATTTATGGAGAGCGAGGCCATGCAAAATTGCAGGTAATAGCAATTTTGATGTATAACTAGCAGAAGAGAGGAATAATGGGAATAATCTCATTTTGGTGGATATATATACAAAGGTTTTTAAAAAAAAAAAAAGGAAGGAAGGATGGAAGAAAAGAGAAGAAAGGGAAAGTTCAAATTTGGCAGTGTTAGAATAAGAAGACAATAGATCGAAAACGTACTGGGTCGGATCTCGGGTCGGGTCGGTCGGATCTTCTTACCTCACACTTAAGCTAGACTATAAAAGTCTGAGCTTTTAAATGCACAGCAAAGCACCTCTTTGCAAGAAAGAAATAAGAGAGAGAGATATATATAGTAGGAAAGCTCTACTACTGAAGTGATTTGAACTGAAAGGGGGGAGCCTCTATTTATAGCTTTTGTCAGGGGTATTTTGGGTAGCCAAAAATATCCACTGAGCCCATCAAATAAAATCTGAGATAAGATATATAAATATATTCTTATCTCATAATATCATGATATTTGAATTTAAATCCAGAATCAATCACAATTAATTCTAAATATATATATTTAATATATATTTAATCTACACAATATAAATTAATTAATTTAATATAAATTAATTAGATTTATATCGTAACCGATTGGATATGATTTAGGGTGTTTGACCAAGTTAAACATATCACAATATCGCCTGGATATTTGACTGGTATATTCTCTTTATACCCAGTCAAATAATCCGGCCCATCAAGGGTAGATCCAAGCCCAAAATCTAATATCTCCCACTCGCACTTGATGGGCTGCCCATCATGTAATAGCTAAATCTTTCATTGCTTCATACTAGGTGTCTGTCGTGACTGTGTGGGCATGACGTCATTGATTGGGGTACTTGTGCACTAGGAATCCTTTATTCAGGACCAGCACACAAGAACACCCTTGGTGTACCTGCAAATTGTATGCTTGTTGCCTCGAATGCCCTAGTTTTATCCATACACTTTACTTGTGGTATATCTAATCCCTCTCGAATTATTTTGTTTACTCAGATTGCCTTACCATACGTATGGTATCCACACTTGCTTAGTTGTTCTGTTCAACCTGCAAGGGACATGTCACAGACACCAACGTAGATGTGTATTTCAGGATAAATCTTCCTTTTGACTATTCATCATTTAGACTTGGCATAGTCGCTTTCCTAGTCTTGACCCGTTAGATCGAATCATTCTTGATCATGGGGTTTAGGCTAGAGTAGCTGTCACTAAACCAAACCCTTGTGATGCTGTCTAAGTCCTAAGGGCATTATGAAAGGTTTATTTCCTTTCTGGGACTCACACCGTAATGGATTAGGGATCTTCCATCTACGCCCCATGTTGCGGATTTGAGTGAGCTCATGCAGTATGAATTGCATGCTACGGCACTCAATCCACCAAGTGGAGTATGTCACTTTTGGTTTTAATAGCACCGTACAGACTTAAGTTCCAAATGCACTCCAACATTTGGACCAGGAGCTCTTTCATCACAACTATATATGACATCTTACTAGTGAAGAGTTCCTTGTCTGGCTACAGGTCTCATGGATGACACATTATCCATGATTCGGCCCAGACTTTTATGGGTCTCATCTCAGTCTAGCTGAGGCAACATTTGTGCAGTGATTCTTCTCTACCATCTCATGGTGATCTTCTGCTGTCAAACCTTCTATATCCCATAAGAACATAGCGAGGCGGTTGCTCGTGTGAGTGAGCCAACCTTGTGACCTGTACGACATATTTGTATTGCATACCTCGTGCCTATGCATGTATAAATACACAAATGTATATACAAGAAAATTTTCTTTGAACTAGATAAAATGCATTGAATTACTAAGTAAGAGGAAACAAAAAGTTCAGTATAACATGCCTTGTGCCTGCGTACTTGAATAAGAAAAAGGAGTTCAATACATCATGCTCTACGCATGCCCAAGGCCTTTACATGCTTAACAAAAGGATCTCTAGCTATAGGCTTGGTTAGGGGATCTGCCAACATCTTATGAGTGGACAAGTATTGAACTGTCACTTGTTTCTTAGCCATCATATCCCTTACAAAGTGATATTTTATGTTTATATGCTTAGTACGATTGTAGTACTTGGGGTCCTTTGCATAGGCTATTGCTGCTTGACTATCGCAGTAAATCAGAGTTGGTCCCTCACTTCCACTATGGATTCACAATCGTACTAAGAATCTTTTGAGCCACACAGCTTCTTGGACAGCTGCAGAACATGCTACATATTCTGCTTCCATGGATGAAAGAGACACACATGTTTGTTTCTTGCTGCTCCAGGAGATTGCTCCGTTATTCGGTAAGAAAGCATAGCCTGACGTCGAGTGTTGCTCATCTAGGTCTCTTGCCCAATCAGCATCGGAATAACCCTCCGCACGAAGGCCGTTTCCTTGATAGCACAACTCATAGTCCATGGTTCCTTTTAGATATCTCATAATCCTCTTTACAGCTTCCCAGTGTTTTATTCCTGGATTGGATTGGAATCGGCTCACAAGTCCAACTGTGAAGCATATGTCTGGCCTGGTACACAACATGGCATACATTAAGCTGCCAACAGCACTTGAGTATGGGACTATCTTCATGCGTTCTATATCTCATTGTTTTGTAGGGTGCATTTCCTCGCTTAGGTTATGTCCCTTAACCACAGGGGTATCCATAGGCTTACAGTCTCTCATATTGAAACGCTCAAGAATCTTTGCTATGTATGCCTTTTGTGACAATGACAACAATTTTCTAGAATGGTCTCTTCTTATCTTAATGCCTAAGATATATTCTGCTTCG